CCTGCTGAAAGTCATAATGATAATTTCTATCTCACAAGAGTGCTGACCCTTAAGTGGAGACTGAAAGAGACTTTTGCTTTCCTCAGAAGCCAGACTCACAGAGGTACAAGGTACTCTTACTATGCTGTGGAATAGCCAATTGCATTCCTCATAGGTTTAGATGACCTACCCTACTACATATACCCCAACCATAGCTGGCCTGAAAGTACTGTATATTTAAAGATGCAGAATCACTAAGTAGAGGATTGCTCTTCATACTGCTAAGTTTATAAACACAATACAAAGTGACCATATGTGATGCACATATAAAAATATTGTTTTCTATTTATGGAAATACCTGTCTTATTGTGATGTACACTCTACCTGCTGATCCACACTCTTCATCGGGCTGCAAAGAACACTTGTTATCCTTGTGAAAAATTATGAATAGCCTATAAGCTTAAGAAACTACTGAAAACTAAAGCCAGACAAAGATGCGCTGAACCAGAAGAGATCCATTACAGCTTAAGTGAGAACCGGGATAGCAACAACCTCCATAGCTCGGTGAGTTTGGATAACCATCGTGGCACTTGTGCCCATGCAGGGGTCAGAGCCTCGGTGGTGGGGCACCCCCTCACCCAGCCCTCTGCCTGCACACCACAGCCCTCCACACAAAAATCCTTTCCCCTCTTCTCTCACAGATCCCCCCGTTGCCCAAGCCTAAACCAATTAGGAGGTTTGCCACATGTTTTGGGGACGCAGACAGATGTCTGTCAGTGTCTTTGTTAAGCCTGCCAAGCCTTTTTGTTAGTGACCCAATTCGCTCTGCTTTGTAACAACCCCCTACTTGGATATTAACCCCCTTAGTTGCATTTGCTGTCTGCATCGAGGTACCAGACAACCCGTTTGTCTTTTAATAGACTGTTTTCCTGCATCCTGGCACATGCTGTTTACTGAAACGAGTACAGAGCTTCAGGGAGGCCTTTCTTACCACATTCAGAAACTAAACAGGCCAAGCTGACTGGATAAAGAAAACGCTGACCCGCATTTAGGAAACGACTTGTTTCTTTCTGCCCTCTCCTAACCTCAAGCAGCGCCCAGGAGCCGGCAAACCCCAGGGCCGCGGCCTGACCCTGGGCCGCGCCTCCGCCACGGGCCCGTCCTCCCCGGCCCCCCGGGG